TTGTTTCTGTTTAATATCTGATTAGAGAACTGAAGTCCTCCGTAGGTTGAAATGACCCATCATGGCCTAAAATAGAGTTCAGTGTTCCTGCCTTCTTTCAGGCCTGTCCGAGACCTGCTTTGAGGCAKTAACTCCTGTTTCTTCACTCGAGGTGACCCCTACATACTTTGTGTGTGTGTATATATATAATTCTGGTTTCAACAGTATAAGTGTTGAGCAATCATAGTCATGTGACTACTGTTCTAAAAATAGCCTGAGTGGAGAGTACCATACATGGCCAATACATCTTTCGTAGGTTATGGTTATGGTAGACATTGTTTATTCCTGCACAGAAAACACAAGAGTACTTACAATAAACCAATATAGACAACGATTTTTTGTGTGTGCATTACATTTATTTTATTTACAAAATTCTATTAAGTCCATGAATTACCTGGTCAAAATATTTTGCAACCAGCCCTTCTCAAGAGCAAAACTTGGACAATCTTTTTAAATAAACTACTGAGCCTTAGTGTTTAAAAAACATTGTTTAAAACAACTTTTCTAAAAACATTTAATCATAATCAGGACATGTTCTCTATTACAAAGTAAAACCTGAAGCAAACATTTTATGACAAAGTAAAATAAATTTAAAACCAAACATCTACTGTATTGCTCAACGGTATGTTGCTGGTTAAAAATGTTTGAACAAAATTTAGGTCGTGTTACATAATACTGTTTTCAGCTGCTTTAACAGATATTCACAGGTCACCTTCCTTTCTCACATAATGAAGCCAAACATGCTAAATCATGAAGACAACAACCAAAGCATAATTTCTCAGCATGGACCTGGTTTAACTGAGATTTTCAGTCGACCACATAGATGATACAGTAGAACAGGTCTGATAGTCTGATCTCTGAGACCATAAATGAGTGAAGTCAGACATCTGGGTAAGATGAATATGGTAACATAGAAAATATCCTGGACCCACACAAAAACTATCCTTGTTACATATGTGGCAAGAGCAATAAGCAAAGGGTAGTAAATGGCGGAGGACAGACTTAGACCCAGCTGCACCAGATGCAACAGCAGTGTCTTACGGGCTTTAAGGGCCGATACTTTGTCTGTAGAAGCTGATCTAGCTGCTAGTACAACTCCAGTGTAGGAGGAAATTACTGCCAGACCGGCTGAAATAGACACTAAACAAGTGTAGACTTTATCATATCTTTCACGTAGAGAATCTGGAAACCAGTTAATATCATAGCAATAGTCTTTCATGAGTAAAGTTTCTAGTTTTTCTAATTGAAACTGTAACAAAAAAAGACCCCGGGTGATTATATTTAGTGAACTGACAGTCCAACTTGCAATGATGGCCAGTGTTGTGTTTCTGATGGTGATGATGGAAGCGTGCCTCAGAGGGTAGCACACAGCTACATATCTCTCCAAGGACATCACCACAAGTGTGAGAGGAGAAATATTAGATGTGAGRTTAGCAAACATTGTTAGTAAACCACATACAGGATATGTTAATCTGACTCTACAGATAGCAAGTAGGTAAAGAATCTGGCCCATTGCCAGCAGAGCAGTGTCTGCAACAAGAAGATTATACAGAAGAACATAACGACAGGTGTCACGAAACACAGGTTTACTCCTCAGDGTGAAYATCATGATACCATTAATGAGRAGAGAAACACAGGCTGGAACTGTAGTCAGACAAGAAAGTATCACTAATTCCAATACACCCTGATACTGCAATCCCACAGTGATGTTAGAGTATGAATATGATACATTTGACATAGCAGAGGCTATTTAAAACATAAATAATTGCCTTGATATCACTAAAAATACAAGTTATAAGAAATGTAAGTAAGTATTGTTAATCAATTCTTTGTAAGACACAACAAGTTAATAAGAGACAATAGGTAATCAATAAAACCACTGTCAGACTTGGACTCTTCACCTGTGTGAAGCTGGCAGGTTAGACTCGATGATGGTTTCTGTGTGGGCAGAGCTGCTCTCCAGTGTTTCATTGGCCTCACGTATGTTTTATGAGCTTTGAACTGGCATTATGATCCCATGACAGATCACGTTTACCAGTCTTACCAGAGCACTGATGGGTGGATAAATCCCAGTTCAATCAGCACTTGTTTATGTGTTTATCAGGTCCATTACCAGAGGCCTGGGAACTTAAGAGTTCTGTTTAGATTCTTAGTTGTTCCTCAGACTGAACTCTTTTAGACAAAGATCTCTGAGATTGATCCTGAGATCTATTCTTTTCTGAGATCGTTTTATTCATGTTTCATTGTCTTTTAAACCTTACCTTCATCTGTTGGTTTGGGATTTTAACATTTAAGAACAGGAACAAAATCTTGGGGATTATTTTGATGTGCAGCAGAATTGCTGGCATAGTCATATTAAACCTCACTGTCTTACACAAGGTGAGGTCAGTAAAGAAGCCCTGACTAAATCTGGCAGACCCTAATCATCTACTCCTTGGTGAGTTTATTTTGCTTCTGTCCAGATGCAGGTATCATTTGCCAAGATGTAGAACTAACGAGACATGGGTTTTTACGATGTAAAAACAAGTGTGCATTGCCACGTTGCATGTCATTGCAGCATGGCTTTGCCTGCAGCATTGGACTTGCAAAATGAAATGGGACCAAATTCAATTGTGTTTTCTAAACCAGTTTGTGCCTGTCACATGAGCAGGTGTTTGTAATTAAGGTAATTGAGTAGCAATATGAAGTTGGAAGAGATCTTTTGTTAAAGTTGCATTAGCCGGGTTTTGAACCCTGATCTCCCACATGAAAGTCCACAACATAGACCATTAGACCAGTGGAGATGTAGAAGAAGGTGGTGGCAGGGGTGGGTTTGTATGTGTGCAAAAAGAGGCCACATTGCCAATACAATTATTGACACTAAACTGCATAATATTACAACAATAGAACAGTATTAAGACAATTTTATAGTAAAGCACTGAACCATTGAGTGTAATGGTGTGACAATATAATCTGAAAATATGAGGTTTCAATGAAAGTGTTTGTTCATAGCTGGGATTGAACCATGATCTCACACATGAAAGCCCATGGCATAGACCATTAGAGCTCTGGCAGAGTGTGGTGCCAGGGGTTGGTTTGTATGTGTGCAGAAAGAGGCCACATTTCCAATACAATTATTGACACTAAACTGCATAATATGACAACAATAGAGCAGTATTAAGACAAATGTATAGTAAAACATGAAAGTACAATCATATTAGTAGTGTAAACACTGAACCATTGAGGTAAAATATTAAAAAACTATGGCGCAGTTCCAAGTTGAGTACAGCTGGGGGTAATATTGGACATTACAAGGCCCCATTCACTCCCATTATATAAATTTGGAATAAAGTTTAAACATTAATATTTCAAAAAATACAAGTTGTATAGGCACCAGAAGGCATAGCAACCATTTCGCAAAGGACCTTTACAGATAGAAATTACAATGATAGCTGTAGGACAAAGTATGCAGGAGGAGTAGCGTGGCGACGTGGAAGAAGACGGAATAAGTTGAATAATAAAGAGAAACAGGAAAACAATAGTGTGCATTGCCAATGCAATGCACACTGATAAACTAAAAAACTAATTTATCCCTACAGCAATCAGACTTCTTATGGTTATGTTTATGGTAAGTGGGGATGGATATAAAATCCATATGAGCGGAGGCCTCCTAAGTGGGCCCATTGCTCTCCCCAAAAAGACACTGGTCTTCATTTAAACTTTCTCGTCCCTCGGATGAAGTACACAAGGTTAGAAACACTCAGTGTTCTGAGCTTCTCAGGATCCATAAAGGGGACCCCAAGAATTATTTTCTTGGGGTCCCCAAAACTTCACCGTATAAAAAGAAAAAAAACAGGTGTCTGTTTTTTGGTTTAGTTTGCTGAAGGTGCAATGAATCTTTGGACATTGTCAGTCACATAAGATACTCAGATGCAGCCTACATTTTTAAAAATTTGTCATCCTCTTATGTGACTGCGCTGTACCTGTAGGTACCCACTTGTGCCTACAAATGCTTCTAACACATTAATGGCCCATGGAAACTCAGAGGATGGAGGGGTGGGCCAGCCAGTAATGGCCAAATTATTGTATTTTTTTTAAACTACATTTTTAAGCCTGGAATTGGCAGGCTGCAACCAAAACTGAAGAAGCTATTTGGAAGAGAGGCAAAAAAAATCTTTGAAAATAGGAGGGTAAGTCAAGTTACTATTATGCTGAACAACTTAGGAGTGACTCTGTACAAAAAAGTTTCATAGACATGAGAACAGCATGAAAATGAAGATTTACCTTTCTCTTGGTTTCAATGAAAAAAAAAAAGAAATAAGGACCCATATTTACTTTTGGCCTACATATCACCTGTGGTGTGTAAGATTTGTCCTCATAGGAAGTCAACAACAATTCTTTGCCATTACAATGATGCTTTTGTAGTTTTAGATTTGGTAGGTTTTTGTTTCTTCCTACACTTGAAACAAAAATGTTATGCTTCATTTAAAACCAGTAAATAAAGACAGGTCATTTTGTTATCCTTCACACTAGACTTTTATTTCTACATTTAGACAAGTCTATATATAAAAGGGTAAATCCACACTGGCCAAGACTAGAATTAGAACTTATTTCTCACAAAAATGATTTTGTCTCACTAAAATAGTATGTCAATTAAAACATGGAAAAATAATTACGTTTAGGTAAAATCAATTTAAAACCAAACAATAACTATTTTTCAATGGTACACTATTTTGCCAAAAGTATTTGTTCACCTGTCTTGAATCACATATGAGCTTAAGGTACATTGCATTCCTAATCCATAAGGTTCAATATGACATTGGTCCACAATTTGCAGCTAGAAATGCTTCAACTCTTCTGGAAGGCTGTTCACAAGGTTTAGGAGTGTTTTCTGGGGATTTTTGACCATTCTTCCAGAAGCACATTTGTGAGGTCACATACTGATGTTGGATGAGAAGGCCTGACTATCAGTCTCTGCTCTGATTCATCCCAAAGGTGTTCTACCAGGTTGAGGTCAGGAYACTGTGCAGGCAAATCAAGATCATCCACACAAGATGATGCCATCCATGTCTTTATGGACCTTGCTTTGTGCACTGGTGCACAGTCATTTGGATGGCTGAGCAAATACTTTCAGCAATATAGTGTATAATGCTGGTCAAAATTATGAGCAAAAATCAGGTCATGCTAAATAACACTGATTTAGGCTTTTTTGACAGATGTTACAGCTCTTAATTATACTCTTTCTGAAGCCAAATACACTCAGTCATGACGACATTAACCAAAGCCTAACTTCTCAGCATGGACCTGGTTTAACTGAGATTTTCAGTTGACCACATAGATGGTACAGTAGAACAGGTCTGATAGTCTTATCATTGAGACCATAAATGTGTGAAGTCAGACATCTGGGTAAGATGATGATAATCACATAGAAAACATCCTGGACCCATACAAACACTATCCTTGTGACAAGTGTTGAAAGAGCCATGAGCAGTGGGTGGTAAACGGTTGAAGATAGACTGAGGCCCAGATGTACTAGATGCAACAGCAGTGTCTTACGGGCTTTAAGGGCCGATACTTTGTCTGTAGAAGCTGATCTAGCTGCTAGTACAACTCCAGTGTATGAGGAAATTACTGCCAAACCAGCTGAAATAATCACTAAACAAGTGTAGGCTTTATCATATCTTTCACGTAGAGAATCTGGAAACCAGTTAATATCATAGCAATAGTCTTTCACAAGTAAAGTTTCTAGTTTTTCAAGAGAAAACTGTAACAAAAAAAGACACCGGGTGAGATTATTTAGTAAACTGACAGTCCAACTTGCAATAATAGACAGTGTTGTGTTTTTGATAGTGATGATGGAAGCATGCCTCAGAGGGTAGCACACAGCTACATATCTCTCCAAGGACATCACCATCAACATGAGGGGAGAAATATTTGTTGTGAGATTTGTAGCCCAGTCAATTTTAAGGCAAATATCTGTTTCCCCTCCTTTCCCTTCTGTCCATAAACTAAGTATGAAATCTCGCGAGACTTGCCACGGGATTTTCCCACAAGACTTTCTGTGAGATTTGGAGCTAAGATGGCTGCACACTAGTGTTTAGCATCAGGTGTGTGTGGAGCTGGGAAGGAGTGGAGCTGCTGCAGGTAGGCAATTAGCTAAGTTAAAAATCAATATCTTTCATCTTTAATTGCTTTGACACTCACTAGTATGACTCTCAGGTTTTAGGTACTCTACCAATGTGGCATTGAT